TATATAGCTCATATTCTGCATTATATTATGCTTCAAAAAATAAGTTCGGTTTCATTTTACAAAGCTCATTTCACATTTATGTCCATGAGAATACAAGAATCTCGATTCGCAAAGATACAAATTCAGAGATATTTTTCAAGCCACTATATGATGTAAGCCTACGGCTGTAGGATTCATCACAAAATTGTTTAATAATGACATTTACTGCGCCAAAATCTTTAATGCACATAACACGGAATAAATGAGTAGTTTGCGATTCGCGTTGTACTTTCCGAATAAATGAAGCGTAAAGCAATTATATGGTCCCACATGGAAACTGACAAAGACTGACATAGTACGATATGTAGAAGTGTCACTGCACAAACTCATAAATGAGATGCCGACTGTAAAGCGTGTTACTGTACTTAATCATTATGTACCTTCGGGCAAAACAAAATATTGATGGTAAAATGGTTCTATTAATTCAATTAGCCCTTTACTCGAGTTGTCCGCACAAGATGGCTATTGCGTGACTGAAATTAATGAACAGCAGATACCATCAAATCGGTCGTATAATCCCTAAGTCTGCTCTACCTATACTATTTACTTAATACCTAAATGGACAGCTGCTAGCAAAGTGAGTACCATATGCACGAGACATGTTATCATATAAACGCCTTGATGATGGAAGCAGCAAACACCTCTGAAACGTCGGTAAATTTCTACAAGTCTACACGCCTCAACAACCCAGAAGATAGTTAAGTTCACACTCGAGAAACTCAAATCTTACTTTTTTCAGAACGTTGGTGATTGTAGGGTTTAAAATATAATATTTATTAATGACGTTTCGGTGGTTGCCTCTAGAGAGATCGTCTATGTGAAAACTATGTGATAAACTTTTACAATATCTCTAGCCTATGTCCAGTATCAAGGATGGCAGCCTTAAAAATGTAGAACAACTTTTAGTTTGAACCAACATAAATGTTTCCTAAACATTTGTCTGTAACGTAATTACAGGTTAATTGATTGTATAAACTGCGTTATACCAGTAGCTGCAATGATATAGTGTATCATTCATAATACGAGGATAAGATACAATTATGACATGAAAATGTCAGAAATCAAATGGCAGGTCTGGATTCATGTGACAATGTCGAGGGCATTGTATTGCTTATGCAAGAGAGCTCTCACAAAGCTGTACGTAGCAGTGACGATTATCAATAAGTTAGAACTATTTTTTCCTTCTGGTTGCAAAACGTGCGTCAGAATCATATTTGGAATGTACCATGTTTATCCACTGACCCTCGCCTGTACATTATTAAGGTAACATGATAAATCGCATGAAACAGAAAAGAGAATACTTTTTGGTTGACACATGAGCCAATACACACATGCATCAATCGGAAAAGAAGATAACAAGAAAGGTACTGATCTTTTTTCACGGAGAGAAACCACTACTTCAGAAACCGATAATCGATTAGCTGGTAACGGAATTCTCAACATTTATTGGGACTAGAACGTCAATTATCGTGTTCATAATAACCCTCACCTAGGCCCAATCCGAGCCAACTGAATCCAGTCCAATCTATAAACTCCTGTTATCTCTAAGGCACGTTTTAACATTTTCTTCCCATACAGGCATAAAACTAGGCTCCTAAGTCGTTCATTCCCTTCAGGTTTCCTGACTAAACGTTTTGCACCCATTTCTCATATCCCGACATAATTTACAAGTTCGGCCCATGTTATCTTCCCTGGTTTCGTCAATGTTGTAAAATAATATTTTTAGTGCGCGATAAAACGTTCGTCAGTGTCAGCACAAAACAATAATAACTTCTCTTCCCGTTGAACAAGAGTTATGGTTATTGTTATGACTATAGTAAACGAGGTATTAAATGGCTCAAAATGTTTTCAGCTACATTAATATAAAATTTGAAGAACAAATGCCATTACTAAAGTACCTAACGAATCCTATTGTAAGAAAAAGCTTCTGTTTCGATTACCTTAGTCAGATATCCCATACAGATTACGTAGTCTTGTGTAAGTACAGCTGTTTTCCTATCAGTGGAAAATCTTCCATGTTTTAAAGAGAATGCACGCTTGATAACATAAAATATGTCATGACTAATTGTCTCATGTTTAATTTGATTCTTCATTCATAACCATCCTAACATCCTGATTCGGCAGCACACAACATCAGTATCTGTTATACCTCGTTGAATCAATAACAGGCCACAGATTCCTGCGACTATTTCGATGTAAATGTCTCACCAATCAGTAGGAAATGAGAACTCACAACTTAAATAAAATGGAAACGTTACAGGAATTGCATTAAAAGGGTCTAGGGGGACGATAAATGAAAAGCTTAAGTGCATCTTGGAACGAATCAGCTGAAAGGCTGGACGGGCATAACGCAGTAATTTGTGTGTGATAATTTATAAGTAAGAACGAAGTGGTTAAAAGTAGCTCAGAATAACCTCAAACTGCGAAATCTTATACAGGCATTATTGAGACTTTCTCTCTCTCAGCCTAGATTTACTGTCAAAATAATTACTTTCAGATATCATAATATACTGCATACACGTATATATACGTTCTATTTGTAAACTTATACACAACTTCATAAACTTATAAAATATGTAAAGACGGCTGTCTTCTGGGTTGTAGCGCCTTGATGATGGAGGCAGTAAGGACCCCTGAAACATTAAGTTCAGCCAGTTTACACGGCGCTACAACCCAGAATACAGCCATATTCGTTCTAACAAACGTGAGAACCTTATATCCTAAAGCCAGTTTAAGAAATACCGTGTGGTATACCAGGTGCTGACTGGGATGGTTGGAATGCATAGTAGTAATGATTTCTTTTCGTAGTTTAGAGCAGTAGTATTCAACTTTTTTTGTTCGCGTACCCCCAGATATCATTTCTCTTCAAAATTGTAGCCCCAAAGTTGTTAGTGTATAATTCAAGTTATACATAGTATATAATCTACATCTAAAATAAATTAAATAAATTAAATTACTGACTATTCAGTGTTTATCATAAAATAATATATATATATTTTTTTTAAATTTCACGTACCCCTTAAGATGTCTTCGCGTACCCCCGGGGTACACGTACCCCAGGTTGAATACCACTGGTTTAGAGGATTTGAACAATTTTTGTGCTAGGAAGTGACCGAACAACCTTATACACAAATTACTATACCACACAGAACATTTCCTTTTAAATGGTATAAACAAGATGGGAGGTTCACTTTTTTAAAATAAACAAAGGTTATATTTATTAGGTATAATTTAACTTAAATCATTACACGAAATATAATACCAGGTTATACTTCCTATTAATAAATCAAGCGAGGTTGATACACACAAAGCTAAGCGCACTAGGTGGTGGGTGAGGGGTAACATTAACCCAGAAAATGCACAGAAAGATTTGTTCAAAGCTACTGTGGTCACGGCTACCGATTCTGTAAACTTCTGCTACATGCGGAACCCACAATGTTGTCAATTGCACAAGCTTGTTCGTGGTTTATTTGTGATAAATGAAATACTATTCCATTTACCACTATCGAAATTCTGTTTCACAGAAAATAACGGATGATATAGTTCTGGTTTTGGAGCATGGGAACAAAATCCCACATATAATGTTTCGGTCTACACTTTTTACTTCAGCAAAGTACGTTTTCGATACACATTTTCAGTGCCACTGTGAAAATCTGCAATTTACAAATTTAGTCGACGAACCAGAGCAAATTGTGCGGTGATTATGCAAGTTTAAATTAACTGCATACTTAATATCTTCATAAATGTCAGTTTAAGAACTGGAACGAATTTTGAGTATAATTTTTCCATTACTTCGTAAAAATGCACATAAAGTTACATCTAAGTGAATAATCGTGACAGACTGTATTCTGCGTGAAAAACAATTAAGATAAAAGCATTAGTATATGATACACAACAACAGCGTAACACATTTATACGTTTGAGTCAATTGCTGGATCTTATCAAGGAGAAGAATTTAGCTATTAGGCTAAAGTGTTACATAATGGATAATAATTCAGTCCATTAATTATATTAGAAACTGTTTGGAGCTAAGTTAGTATAAACATTACCATCCTTGAAACATCAAAGTTCTTTAGTCGGCAATGGCGTGCTGAAACGTGTATTTGAGTTGCTGAAAATGTATCATTAGAGAACAGATCTTTCCCGGCATATTTATAATATCCGACATGTGTACAACTACGAATATTTACTCCGTTGCTTATTCTCTCGTTTGGTTTCCAAGAATTCTTGGTTTGGCTCCAATTTCCATGAAAGAGGGGTCTAAGATATATAAATTCCAATCATCAACGAAGATCTTGGTCTACAGTGTTTTAGTGGCAGGTGGTATAGCGACACTGTCCCTGTATATTATTTACACCATGGATTATAATTTCAAAAGGGGACCAACAATTATTTTCAAAATAAAGGAATATGCTGAAACGTTAATAACAGCGACTTTTATAATCATAATTTGCGTGAATCATCGTAAACTAATATTCACAATAACTAATACTAGTTACGTTGACAGAAAACTGCTATTTATTGGCGTCCCAATAACATTCAAGTCACATGTTCGTATACTTCGAATACGAACACTTTGTGCGGTTATATTAGTTTTAATGCCATTTTTTCTTTTTTCGTACCACTTCGTAATTGATACTTTCGGTATATTGCATATTTTGTCCAGTTTCCTCTCCGTGTTTCAAACAACTACATCTTTCTACATGCAGTCGCTGTACCAACATTTCATGTTCTTAATAAGACAGCGATTTCAGATTATTAACACACAAATCTCAAAGATAAGCACTGATGCTTCGGAACATGGAGTCTTAAATTCCGAATTGTTCGGTCCCTTAATAAGAGAACCACTGCCATCTAGCAGTAATCAAATTATAAGGACATCAACGTTCAGAATACCAACAAATAATGTGATCACTCCTGCAGAGAAAAGGAATTCGGCAGACGGCAATCTGTCATGTATAATGAACACTTGCCAGCAAAGTTGCAAGGTCGAAAACACTGGGACATTTCACGCGATATCTTCGTCTGACAGCAAGTGTCTTGCAATTCAGTTACCCGAGGAGTCACAAAAGAGCCGAGTGCGTCTTCTTGCACATCTTCATGACTGCATGTGCGACACAGCTGAAGTTCTCAACTCAGCTTTCTCAGTTCAAAATCTCCTGCTTTCGGGCAAATACCTCGTCGATATAACAGTGAATTCCTACTGTTGTTTCTTTGTATTTAAAGTTCCTCACATGAATACCTTACTCACACACTACATGTATTATTCTTTGTACATGACTTTGTGTAGTGTGATGCAATTTACTGGGATACTGGCAGCAAGCACATTCACAGCTGAAGAGGTAAGTTTTGTTTCTTACTTTCTGTATTTAGTTATTCATTGTCTTATAATCTTCCTTATAAAGTCTTAAATATTAAAGACTCGTATAAGTACTTCAGTTTTTAAGACTGATATCTTCTGGGTTGTTGCGCGTGTAGACAATTTTAACGACGTTTTATAGATGACTGCTGCTGCCATCATCAGGGTGATAAATCAGTAGTTTAGTTTCTAGTCTGTTCTAAACTATTAAAAATAAAACACAAGATTTAAAAGCACATTTGAGTACCTAATAGATACATTAATCACAAGTTAATTGACAATACAGACACTGAACATATCAAACAGTTTGGAAAGTAAAATTGTTTCTGTTACACTGATTATATCCTAATACGTGAAAGAAAACTTTGTATGCGACAGACATCAACAGTGTCGATATTCGATTGGGACAACAGCACTACAGTACTCCTTGTTAAGAAAAACCTGTTGTTCAATTTATACTTAGAGTTTCAACCTTGATTCACTTACGAAAACTTTAAAACGAAGGTGTACTGTTTCCAGGCAAATCGTACGTCAGTAGCTGTCCACAATGCAATGCAAAAACTGAGGCAACCATCACAGAAACGAGAGGTGGGTTTCACTGGTACAACTATTAAATAGATAAAAAAATCAAAGAAGTACATTTTCGGACGTTTATCTTACAGTTAATGTTTCTGCAATCCTTTATCCAATATAGTAAGGAACCGGCTTATTGGACGACGCAACAGTTCACAACGTCGAGGTTCTTTTGGATTGTAGCGACGCGTGAACTCGTAGAGAGAGAAACAAAAGATCAGTTTTCAGGTGTAAATATGGGACTATATTTGTCGGAAAGATTGGTATCACCCTACAAGTCCACACGACGTCACAACCTGTATCAAGATCCATATATTCACAGCTCAAGAACTTCAAATTTCACATTTGAGAGAATAGCCCAAACCGTTTTAAATCCTCCAGTGTAATTTTTCGACCAGAACTGTCAGTTCTGGGAAAACGCATATTTAGATATTTTAGGCTAATGCAATAAAATACTTTAAAATCTCAGTTCATAAATAATTACACATCCTGGAATGTAATTATCACACTAAACATTAAACGGTCTAGAACTGAAATTCAATTCAATTCAATTCATTTATTAAAGTGCTTGACAACAGCCAAAAAGGCTAATAACAGCCAAGCACTAACAACAATACAGACATTACAATACAAAAGCAAACAAACAAAGAACTGAAAACATAACTGTACAATATTGATTTATTGCAAAATAACTCATAAGTAAAAAACTAAATGTTATAGATAAGTAAAATAATAATTATACTAAAAACAGTTTAATATTGGACAAAAAACATACACAATAAAATGTCATACTAAGTAAACAATAAAAAACCATGATTATTGTTTCAAAAGCTGACTGACATCAGTAAGCAAAATACGATCTTTGTTAAAGATGTCGATGCTCCTGCAGACTGCATTGGCAGCAGAAACACATCTGGCAGAGGGATTGGCCTTGAAATTACGTTGTACAGTAAAGGTAGAATAGTCTCTGATAGACCTAGTAGGTATGCAGAGACTAACTGTATCAAAAACAGATGAGCAACTAATTTTGCCTTTAAAATATATAAGAAATTTAATCTAACTAATATATCGTCATAATTATAGGCACAAACGCCATTAAAGAATCTAGCGTAACATAGGGCTACAAATTTCCTTTGAATCCTTTCCAATTTAAAGCAGTCAGTATTAGTAATAGAGTTCCAAACAACGGATGCATACTCAATTTTGGAACGCACTAAAGTACTGTACAAAACCAAAAGGCTATCAACAGTGGAGAAGGAAGAAGTAATGTACCTAATCAAACCTAGCATTTTCAAGCTCTGTGAGAATATATAGTTGATATGCTGGTGAAAATAGAGCTTACAGTCCAGTAGAACACAGTATAATAATAATAATGTTGGCGGGATTATAAATCAAACGGGGGTGAGTCTTATATTTGATGGCGTCTAAAAATCATTGTCGAAAACTTATATTGTATGACTAAAGTGCAAGAAAAGTCTTTACGTCCATAACACTTGCCATGGGACAGTGAATAATAATATAGCATCGAAGAAGATTCCGAAAGTATTAATATAAAGAAGTTTTGTACTTAAATATTGATAATTCCTATTGAATATAAGTATTTTTTCTGAGAACCTATTATCAAAATTTTGTGTGCGTTTTAAAATCGAGGAAACCCTGTATTTTGGTATAAAAGTTGCGGCGTGTCCACGAAATGTAATATTTCTGTAGGGGCTTCCATTCTGGACGTTCGAACCACCTATGTACTGGGAAGACTGAATTTCTGTTTAGAATTTTGTTTGTACGGGGATTGTGCGCTTTTGTAAGAAGTGTTGACACTTATGTCCTTGTTGCAGTTGAAGGAATTCTCACTGCAGCTTCTGCATCGTAAGCTGCGGTTCACAGCTTGCGATTTCTTCCCACTCGACTTCACTCTACTCCATTCGGTAAGATGCTCAGAACAGCACACAAGACTGAGACATGCTTCTATTAATTATGGTTTGATTTATTTTATTAAATATTCATTAGACATTAAATGTACCACTAGGACCTGGAAACCCATACTGCACAATAATGACCTAGGATCACTTTAGTATAACGTAACAATTACATGGGATCACATCAATGCAACAATGATCCAAGAGATATGGCATGAACAACACCTTTGGAATGATAGTGCAGTCCAAATAGTATACCATTAGAATCTGGTAATTACCGGATTACTTAATTTTACGATAACACTCAGTTGTTGAAATACAGACAGAAAAAGAGTAAATTTAGTCTTTTAAAAAAAGTAGTATTTTTTCTATCTGAATTACGTTTTAAGGAATCAATGGTGTTTACGAACAATTTATTATAATTTGTTAGAATTAAAATCTGAAGACTGAGTATCAATTTCACATTCTGTACATTCAAGTAAATGGAGTGCTTTTTTCATCAAAACTGCTTGATTTTGAAAGGTGTTTGTTGCACATGGCAACATGGAACACAAATTTCTTAGACATGCTGTGTTAAAAAAAAGATGCCGCTTGAGTCAAACAATGTCGTTTTTTACAGATGATTGGCGCTGCTACAACGTATCTGGTGATTGTTATCCAGTTCCATCTCGCAAACACCAGCGGATTATTTTAAATTTAACAACAGTGACAATAAAAATTAAGTTCAGTGCATGTATCTGTTGCAATTCCAACTAATTTCTCGAAAAATAAACAATCCATTCAGTAACATTCATAAAATAAAGAAGTATTTATCAGGGTACGAACTATGTCTTTATATTAATTCCTACCACACAAACCAGTCATATAAGAACGCCCTAGCTCCTACGCGAAAAAGACAGACGAAAATGGATGTAATGTGCTGTTCAGTCACGCTAGTCAGTTGAAGGAGTTCGTATTCTGTAACTCGTGTGACGGAAACACCTATTAATTAACCATAGGCCTACATATAAAAGATATGCGAACAATAATTTTGGATAGGCGACATTACTGCTGGGTCGGAGATGGAGAATCGACCCATCGCATGGGTTCACGACACACAGCGCACTGAATGACAATTCTCAGGCCTGGATCAGAACCAGCAAACCTGATCATGTATCATGTTATGACAGCAGGATGTAATCCATACAAAGACTATTAATGTTAGCAGTCTAAATAAGTCTGCCTCTCTTCCTAAAATCCATTTATCGAGGTATAATAACCAGTAATTTCTTACTCTTTAACTAACTAACTAACTAACTAACTACATGGCTTACCGAACCCGAAGGTTCATCACCGAATTAACCAAAGCCCTCCACCTGTCCTGGGCCAACAAAATCCAGTCTCCTTCAACTCCTATCTCCCATAGATTCCGCCTAACATTATCCTCCCATCTACGTCTAGGTCTCCCCAGCGGTCTCTTCCTCTCAGGCTTCCCAACCAATACCCGGTGCACACCTCTTGTCCCATCCATGCGTGTTACATGCCCCGCCCATCTCATTCTTCTCGACTTAATTCTTACTCTTTAACTTTTTAAATATATTTTGGTGATGTAATCAGTAAAAATTAAATCCACTTTTACACACATCCATTTCCCACAAAATGGTCACATGTTTCCTATCAGCCCTTTCAGAATATAAGAATTTTCCAAAACCAAGGTGTGTTTTTTTATAAAAATACTCCATACAGTTCTTCAAGGAAATATTCGCTTAAAGTTGTTAATTACAGAGATCGTAAGTATGTAATACTCATTTGAATGCACAGACGTGGAAGATACAAAATAAAATACATAAGCTGTAATATTTTCGTATTATTTTATTTGCGCGTCCTATAAGCCTGTATATGTAAAATCTACAACCAAAGAGGGGGGAGTACGAAAAAATAAACCAGACTCTCTGGTCATTCCTTACACTTACCCTGATGATGGAGACAGAGGTAGTCTCCTAGACGCTCGCATTTGACTCAACACTGACGCCGTTGGTGCTAGAGGAATTTTATAAAAAGTCGATGCTGTTGTATATACCGAGAACGTCAGACACATCTGGGAATTCCCTCGGAGACAAGTGTCAAGGAGATAAATATGAGACCTAGACATCATGTCTGGTTGGGCAATGAATCTTTTGAAAGTTCGTTAGGTGTTAAAAAGAGGCTTCAACCCACGACTCGGCGTTGCAATGGGGTACGAAATGAATGATTCTAACTCCCTCGCCTCATCTGTTAGACTAATCGACTGGGTACTTACGTATTCAAATGACTCAATTTGCAACTGTAAGCGAGATTTGAAACATCTACGCTGTAGAACTGCGTGCAGGCAGCAGCTAGCTGAGACCAGTGACGGTGACGCAAACAGTAAGCAACACAATGATCCTAAGGCTCACAACATGCATAAAATTCGAGACATCGTCACTGAAGTCGAGTACAGTAAACTGAGGGACTTAAGTGGTAATGTTGACGCGAACAGTTTTTATGCATTCCTTGGGCCAAGTCCATGAAAACAAACACATAGACGGTTGAAGTTAATAAAATTATCATTACATAACACAATTATATAATAACTACCAATACAGTGTTATTTCTATATCAATTACCGAAACTATGAATATCTGAAGGACCTATTTTAGGGTATAATCATTAGTTGATTATTCTGCGACTTTCATCAACTATGGAAGTTAGTTGTATACGGAATCTGGAGAATAAAATAAAGTAATAAGTTATGATATGTAAGCACTCTATAGCCTGGACAGGTAAAAATATTAGGATCGCAAATAAAATTCTATTTCAGCTGTTTTTAATATTTACAGAGCACTACTGTCACACCAAATTTCGTATCCTGTGACGAAATACCAGGTCATTTGCAAGCTTATTACTATATATTCAAAATTTACAGTCTGCAAATAGGAAATTTAAATTCTGCGATATGTAGTATTTTTGTGACATATAATTACCGTTTCGCTCTTTTATTCCCACTTTAAATCTGAAAATTTCACATTGCGTATGAAGACGGCGTGGAGGTCTAGAGATTAGCTTCAGATATGCCAGCTAAAGTCAGGTGACTGGGTGTGGTCCCCAGAGAGAGTCTGGTCTTTGTGGCTTTGGAAAAAGTCTGCCGTGTCCGAAATCGAACTTCGGTTACCCAGCCTGTAACCCAGACTTTATACTAACTCAACTATCCCGGCTCATTATAAAGTTGTTATTTAAAATATTAAAGAGTGTCAATTCTTTGTCTCCTGGTAATAATTTATAATAACGCTTAACAACATTAGCATCATCCATGGTCATAATGAGGCTCGTAATTTTGAAGGTTTCAGTTTGATGTGATCGTCCCAAGAGACGGCCTGAAGGGTCGTTAATCCATATGTAATACATTTACTTAAAATTTACAGTGATAATTTCAAATAAAAAGCCATGTATGCCTATATATGATTCTAGTTATTGAAAATGTGTATGTAGATATGCAAACTGATCTTACACAAGCATAAATGAAGTTTAAGTCTAAGCAAGTCTACCAGAAACTTAAGGAGACATAGTATACTTTCAATGGCGTAAACTAAGCCATAAAATAATACACAAAATTCTGCTACAAACGCCCTAATATTACTTCCTAAAAAAAACTGATCTTTGTGTAGTTTCATACATAATTCTCCATGTTATCGGGAACAGGACAGACCCATTTTCAACGCTACTGCGTAGTTCAGTATTAAAAGTTAGTTTCGCGAGCGTGTTTATGTGGGGTGAGGGGGAGATCATACCGTATACTCACCCACCAGTTATTCCCAACCGAAAAATAATACTCCCTAAATGTTAAATCCCACAGTCAAAGGCTAAACCGAACTAACAGCAAGCATTTGTTAATGTCTGTTCATTTCGTAGTACCATTTCCCGGTCTAGTGGCAGTTTTGGTAGGGGAATTCCCGCTTAGACGTGACCCTGCCGCTGAATCCTACAACCCTCTACAGGGCAATATCCCCAGGGTACAGTAAGGCCAGAGAAGTGATTAATTAAACTCTGAACCAGAAACGGTTCTCACGCGGATGACCAGCCTCGCGGGAGGTTCAGATTTTCTGGAAAAGAGGTTAGGAACCTTCCTAAAGACGCGATGTTATCACTGCCACTAACAATACGATTACAGAGTCCACCAATTCCGCGAACATGTAGTTCATGTTAAACGGCTATATTTTACGCAGTTATCTCTTAAAATATTATCAGTCCTTAGGTTTCAAATAAGCTACAAGACGTACGTCATCAGAAAGAACGTTTTACTGAATTCCGAATCTCAGATATTTCTCTTATACTTTCATGCAATAGACTTAAAACTAATCATCCGTGGTTCTTAAATTATATTCTGTTCACCTGAAGATAAACCTTTTGTAAGCACAAATTGGGGCCTGCATAACCTAACCGGAACGAAAGACAAATATTTAAATATCTCATGAAATACTGAATAACAAAAAGTAGTAGAAAATAAATTATGACATTTTTACATGTTGGCTGTCAATCTTATCTATGCGGCAAGTAAAATTTTGTGTAGAAAAGCAGTGATAACCAAGGACAATACGTTCGACAACTAACTTCCACCGTAACTTTAAATATACTTTCGTGAAGTTTCCTATCTTCCTTATTTACAAAAATATGTCACTGATAATCTATGATAGCACGGTTTACGTCTTTGTCTAATTAGACGAGTTTAATGAATTGAAAATACTTAAAGTGATCACCAAGTTATTTTAAGAATTTCCGATGTTAATATTGTAACAATTGTCAGAATTCTGCCTTCGACAGTACCATAGTTGTTCACAGAACCATTGTAAGATCCACGTAAGACAGATAAAACTATCTTCCTTCTATAAAGTCCCTCAACATTGCAAAAGGAAGTTCTCATGTTTCATTAAATCGTCACAAGGAAAAAACAACAACGAAAAAGGCAACAGCTAAACGAGGAAAATAAAACAGAGACAATATTAAAGAAAGTATGAAAAAAACATAATTAACTAACTTCAAAGTAGAATTATTCTTGAGATTCAAGTAGAACCCTCAGCTAGTCAAATTCCGTGCAGCTTATTAACCTTAAGGTTTAATTCACAACCTACCCTGAGCCAAGGTGAATCCACCCTACAAATCGAACCCCATTTCCCTTATATAAATTATAATTTTATCCTCCCATCTTCCTGCGAGCCATTCCTTAACGTACTGTTATTTTAGGATGTGGAATTGTTAGCACCCCGTCCAACCCTCAAGCTGGAGGACCACCCCAAGTCGGCTGTCCGCAATTGTTAACTGATTATATTTTTAGCAATCTGGATGCCTTCCCCACCATTTTTAACCTCAGAACTCGCAATGCCGAAGTAACAAAGGAGTGATATTATTTTGTTCAGTATTATATTCATCACAAAGTTACAGTTTCCACTTTCCTGTGCAAGATTGCGGAAAGAGAATGTCATACACAATCGAAAGTGACCAAACATTGCCTGTAGTGCATAAGGTACGACATGGTAATTTTTTTCTGACTGTAACCATGTTCTCTAGGGTTGACATATCATTAATACCCTTGTAAAGTGGAAGTGACGTGGTAGAGGTATACATTTTAGAAGAGACAAGCTCGCAGTCAAAGTTTCGTGTTTGATTATTCATTTTCAGTGGCAGACGAAGGAAAAGGACCGTTTACATTCAATGAAACTACTGCCATGCTGTTTCCCCCACCAAACAGCATGTATTGAGGCGAAAATAAAACGTAACATAAGAATGTATGTGGATATAAATTTATCAGCAAATTATAATCACTTAAGCAAAACACTTCATTAATGATATTTTTCGTTTATTGACATAATGAATTATTAGGCTTGCGAGGGATTGTAAATTTCAGGATATTATTATGGGATGTACCTGCCGTCGTGTATCGGACATATAAATGTAGCTTTATTCAGTGTTCCGCCAGAAATATTCATGACAATTCAATAAAGTTAAAACAGAGTAGAATATATCAGATGGATGTTTCCGAATGGTTTCAGATGGCTTCTCGGTTACAGATTAAAAATATCATTAGCTGGTCAATTTAATTACAGAAACTGACAAACAAAAATATTATTATGTATACATTATCCTCTCTGCATAAGATACACCACGCAAGTGCTACACAAATGATAATTTATACATAAATGTTAAAGGCCATCCTAATTAATTTTATCTTTGGTCGAGAGTTTCTGTGAGGAACAACATCTATTTATAGTCTCTTTCTCTGCAACAATGTTATAATACGTCAAGAGTCAATCACAGATCAACAATTTTAAAGCAAATAGAACAGAAGGTTCGAGTACAACGTAACCGTTGTAAAACAAATCAAGTTATAAAAACAGATCGTCAGAATTGTTTTGATGTTATAAAATCATACTTCACATATCATTACAATGCAATTTAACTATTTTACTTGAGATGTGAACAGAGGAAATGGATGTGTTAGCAAGAAAACGAATGTGTAGGTTTTAAAGTTTACGATTCCGTAAATGTCAGGCTGAAGACGGTTGAATGAAATACACGAAGACGTGCTGCAATGAACAGTCCTACTCCCTTAAAGGCTTCTTATCAAGAGATACACTGCTTTACGACATCTGACATACATCTTCATTATCTGCATGCTAAATGCAGACATAATTTAGATCACGAGGGCTTAATAAATTCGAGTGGACCTTCATGATAATTGTTATGTACATCTTCACATATCTGTGTTAGTTCAAACTTTCGTTTACATTCAAGAATTCTGACTTTAGTAACGTTTTAAAACATATTTGTATTACGTAGTAACACACGATAGCCTAAACAGATGTCCAGACTCGTTAACGTAACATTTCTCATGTTGTTCGACCATCCTACATCAAAGAATATCACTCTCATTATTTATATTCTGTCTTCCTGTGTTGACTATAATTGGTTCGTGTAGCTAATGAGTTAGCACGTTGAAATAAATAATTAAATTACACTGAACTGTACTGTATTCATTATTTACAATTACACACTTCTGACCAGAGTGTTATTAGAGTGGACTTGATAAATTCAAATTTAATACGCTAATCTCCGGTTCAAAAATGACCCCCCATCAACTCCTACGCGAATACTCGGTGCTTATGTCATTCACGCATATCTTATGGACCTACTATATCGAATCCATCAGCACTGATTTCGATTTGTGAATAGCTAACCGACAGAGTGAGCCCCCCTCTTACTGGAATATTTAATGACGAGGGGCTGAGCAGCATTGTTGTTTGTACCGAAATAAACAAAGTGGCAGCATTCATAATCGACCTTCGTAACATGATGATGTGTTTATTAACATGTATAATCTAGCTGAACCTACACATGCCGATTCCCGAGATGGTAGTCGGTGACAAAAGGCAAATGCACACTGTTCCGAGAGCGGTCATCATCAATTTACATTAAAGGTAGTCACAAAGTAGCTTGTGTCGTTTATAAATGTTGTCGCCTATGTCCCATATTAACAAAGTAAATATGAGTGAATCTCTAAATGCATTCTGTCGAACGTACCTGATAACATGGCAAGTCTTTTCACCTGATGAGTCAAATTTAATTACATGGGCATGGTCGAAAGAGAGTGACGAATTTACAAAATACGAGTCGAAGAATTTAATAAATGTAATTGAATGAAGTCCGAGAATTTGCTGATTATCCCGCGTTTACTATAAGCATTCGTAACTAGAGAGCTTTGTTGACGTAAATACGTCTGCATTTTAGGGTCAGTGTCATTCCGCAAAAAAGTGTGACGAAAATGTGTAAGATTGTTACCAAGGAAACTTCATCTGTTTATCAACAAATCGACAATAATGGTTACCTAAGAAACATCTATTTACTCAGCATAGTTGTAACCTATAAAACATTACATTACATTACTTTACATTTCATTCAGCTATCACAGACCCATCTTAAGCGTAACTAATTCAAGTTAAATAAGCAAAGTCTTAATCAAACTTTACTCAATTGTAAAGCATGTATAAAGGAAATATTTAGAATAAAGCCAATATATAAACTTCCTTTCCGTATAGACGTATTTACGTCAAATTCTCCGGAACCGTGGTTCCACTGACAACTTTTTATTCTCGAAAAAGTTTCGAGAATGGAAAAATTATATCCTAAATTTTTTTATCCCCCTTGACTCAGTGTGTTCCTCAAAATCCCAGAAATCGCCATCCTTCCAATACATACACTAGGGGAATGATTACGAAAACTGCTACGAACAAGGATATTCTTCTAAAATCTAAGAACAATAATTATTTTATTTTTAGATAAATGCTGCAGTCCTTAAGTAATACTATGGTATTCTCAGATGGTCCTACTAAATTTCATTACATTTTACGATTCGCGTAATCCATTCCATGAAGCTTCCACACGGAAAGAAACGTTTTCCTCTTGGTCTGAATTTTACTCCAAATGATCTTCGCTCCACCTCTCCTATTTTCTTCCACTTTTAAAAAACACTGATTTACATTTGCGTGGTGAATTAGGAAAATGTTCGTTAAGCGATGTCAGCATTAAAATGTGTACTGTACCAATGGGCTGTTCCTTCTCTCTGGGTCCCTAGCAATTATTTTCGTGTTGAGTGGAGTCACTTCTCGGAACTTCTCTTCTGACTCCTTAACGAAATTAATAGCAGAGACTTCATCTGCTCCCTGACGTTTCACAATAGTAATTACAAGCTGAATAAGAGTGAAATGTCTCAATGATCACGTTGTCTTGCAAGAGGCGTTCAAATCAGAGGAGAGAAATGAATGTTGCTTTGTAAGCTAAATGAAATAGTGCTACTTGATTGTCTAATGGCAGAGGAGCACAAAATTCATGCAAAAGACCACATTTGCCTTCCCATTTTATGACATAAGAATGCATCTGTTGTAAATAATGTATCAGTTCAAAAGTAATTTGAAGATTAAGGGAAGTGAGACCGAGGTTAGCAAACAGAAAATCCGCTTAATATTTAAAACAATTTTTGTTTATTTTATAACATATCAACTATTTCACTTTACCTCAATATAAATCTGTCCCTAAACAAATACTGAGTAAAATAGCTCGTAAAAATTCTAGTCCATATCATATTTTAATTTCATGTTCCACATTGCAGTTGGTATTGCAAATTTTGTTTTGAAAATGTATTCCTGAACTTAGTGTAATAATACTAAGAGTATTTAAAAATCAAGGCAGTATTATTATCTGATAATTTGAGATATAATATGTTTATTACGTATGTAGATATACAGCTTTATGTTAAAACGTCTGACTACATTTTAATCACCCAATATGTATTATATTATTCTACTCTTCTTCTCATAAGACAATCTGTTTCTAGAACAACAGTTTTCTGAAGTTTCTTTACAGACTTTACAGAATTGAAACCCACCATGCTTCCGGAAATTATATCGAGAATTTTCAAGATCTTCAGCACATCAAGATTACGTCTAGAGCATGCCCAATCTGAGAGGAGACGAAGAATTGTTCCCAAATGGGTAAATTGGCCGAATCTTGAATCTACCCATTGTCGCCCATCTCTTTTAGCAATAAATCTTCTTAACAGAATATTAGTTGAATGCACTTTTCTGCTCAGTGAAGTAAGAATGTTACGAAACCGCGTGTTTAAGCAAACCTAAGTAATAAAAGTAACTCTTCATAATAAATTTTCAAAAATATATCGACCACAAACTTCAGAAATAGCGTATTAGTAAATCTGCGTGTGGGTTCAATTCGTCTTGGTTTCTGTCGGAAATGAGTTCAGAACAATTTTCAGCATTCAGTCAAGGTAGCTTCTCCGGGGCTGAAATTGAATTATTCAGCTGCGAGAATCTCTGAGAGCAGTGACACGTATGTGACAGCAAGTGCCTGATAATTAATTGCCTTCTGCGTCATGTCGGCGAGGGGGTAGGTGGGGTAATGGTGCCACTGTCGCGACGTGTGGACCTACCAGTCATTAACCCACTGCAAGCTTTTAATTATTGCCTCAGGTTTGCCTCCAGTTGAGAGAGAATACTTCTCGCTGTTACAGAATGTGTAGTTGGCATTTTCAATCGACCGAAATTGTGAATGTTTAATATAAATGCCAAAGCGAGATAAATTTAATCAAAAAATGTTAAATTCGCAACTGAACATCAATTAGAGAAATTAATATGGAAACGTAAATGTCACGAAACCAGAATTTACTAGAAGCAAATACAGTAGTGTGATTTATGTATTAATTTTAATTGGAATAACAGTTAAAAGAACGTTTGCGATACCACAATTTTTCATTTTAATTTTTTAAGAAACACAGGAAGCAGTTTCCCTTCTGAGTTGTAGCGCCGTGTAGTCTTGTAGAAGTTTACCAACATTTCAGAGGTCCTTGCTGCCTCCATCACCATGGCTATAAACCAGAAGTTAGCCATCTTCAGACTCACCGCCGTGAGAACCTTAGATCCTACTCAGAAGACAGTTTCTAAAAAATCATACTGACTCAAAAATTTAAATGGAGTACCTTTTGTAGAACATCCTAATGCAAACAACACAAAAAATGCTTTACTACAACAGGGAGCAACATTATTACCTACGAATCATTTAATTTTTGATCGATAAACGGATATAGAAATATAGGAACGAACTTAGACGTCAGGATGATATCTAATGAAACGTTCACAAGCATCACCATTTTAAACTTAAATATTCTACATCATAGAAATAAAATTTAACTACAAATTTACTATAATATAACTTTAAAGCAAAAGATAAAGTACTATCCAAAGCGTTAGTACCTTAAAGCATTTTAATGGGCAGAGAAGAAATATAGGATCTGTTTAAAAAGTGTTAATGCATTATAATGCTGGATTATTCTGCACATCCTCAATGTTCGAAAAGGTTCCTTTTTACGCGGTAAATACACTATTGCCAAGACAAAGAAATATTTGAAATCACGTGTCTGGCCCACTATCCATTGTATTCAATGATTACTGCACGTAAGTTCCATTACGTCTCTGAGGAAACGAAAGAATGTTAGCAAGTGTTCTGTAGTCATATTGTAACAAATTGTCTGGGAACCAGGAGGTACAGTCTCCCTTTGATAACACATTTAAAAAAAATCAGCTTTATACTATACTCTGAAAAACAAGAATTAAAGCCTATATTCTGGTGTCGCCATTTTGTTTTAAATATTAAACCTATGTTATGGAATCATTCCTATTAATATTTCTGGCGTATACTGACAAATGGCGCTACTCGTCACACTTGATAACGTAAGGTTAGATGAAACCCTCAGGATTTGAGATTATCAATCATAACAAAACTCCAAACTCCCGCAGTCATACCCTGGGGAGTTGCATGAAACCCGCTTAAAATTTTAAATCTAAAGCAGGTTCTGACGACAACAGTCTTCTGGGTTTTGACACCGTGTGAATAAGCACGATTCGAATCCTGAAGTGAGGCGTGTACCAAGTAAACAAGCTAGGAAGCAAGCGAAACGTTGAAAGCGGAGTGCCGCCCGAAGAGCAGGACGGCCCTTATTTTGATAAGAAATTCACGCATCCTCAGGAAATCGCCTTATAAACTATAACTGGGTATAAGATTGCGCTGACGGGTTTGATGGGTGAAGACGTAGAAGTGCTCTGGCAATAACTGGGTATAAGATTGGGCTGACGGGTTTGTTGGGTGAAGACGTAGAAGTGCTCTGGCAAACCATTGTTGCTACTTGTGTTAGAATTTCAAAAACGTCTCGCAAACTTAGGTCATGAGAGTTTCTTCCCGCAACCTTCCTGACTGATCTTTGATACAATATTTGAAAAGACTTACGAAAACAACAAACGACATTTTCATCACCGTTACACATTATGGTTGATATAGCTTCATGAAACAAACAACCTAAATCAAGTTTTATATTTACTTATTCAAATTATCGTAATATCCAGCGTGTACACACGTACTGCAGGAAGATAATATAAATAGAATTGACTTGAACAACAAATCATTTAAAATATCACATCATCATTTCCTGTTTAGTGCTTAAATTTATGATGTTTGATCCATCTGGCAAAATATATACAATGTCAACAATTTTACGGAAAATTTAAGCGAGCCCTTTTCTACGTTATTGTGTTGAGGGTACGCTGTGACAATCCACTGCTTGAGTTTGCAATGATTGTCAGCTACACTGTTCCAGACAGTAGGCGTACGTTCAAACGATTCCGAACATGTAGCGATACAAACAATCAGTGCTGAAAATTAACATACTTAACGATTTTGCGGATTAATTTGTGGCACATCTGTGCATTGAGAGATGTTGGTCGAAATGTTTTAATTGTAGTACTCGTGACAGGATTGTAATGGATTCATGGAAGTAATTTCTCGACGGTGAACAATACATACAATATCTTGTGCAGCTTGAAAAGTAAAGATTTCATGTTCCAGTAACTTTTCAAACTAATAAGTGGTTTATATTTATAAAATATTTGCACTCACCATTAACCAGAGCAGACGCTGTTGATAAAACGCAATTCACATTATGATGGTTCTTCAGGTTGCATTCGGAAAGCAAGATAAACCAGTCCACATAACCTTGTTGACATGGTTACATTTTCAAGTGGCTTCAGTTTTGTTTCTGCACCTATAACGTAGGCTACATCAAAGCGAATTAGTGTCACTTTCAACTTTATTTTAAATCGCGTTAATTGTCTATAATGCCTCAGCACGTTACTCGAACCAACAAAAATTACTATTCCCAAACAACAATTTTCGAAGTTATGTGGAGCGGAAACATAGAAACACCTAAGAAGCAAAACAAAAATTATTTTACACTGTCGAACACGTAGATAACGAAACGAACACCAGGAGAGGTGCACGGAGACTAACATTGCACATGCGTACACAAACAGCTAGCTACTGCGCAGCAAGCAGTCTGGGACAGACATGCGCAGACAGGTCGGGTGATGATGCAGTCACAAATATGATCCAACTGGTCAAATCCGCCTTGTAGAGTCCTGTCTTGACTCGCATGATAGCGTGGTGTTTCCTATCAAACACAACTTGGTATCGTTTATTAGAATGTAATCTCTTATTCAAAGAATTATTAATCAGCTGCCTCGTGGATACCACTCCTCAGATTAAATTCTAAGCCTGAAGACCGGAAATTCTGGCAGATTTTAAGTGGAATTCTTCAGTGGGGCAACACAAATACTTGGATAGTTCCTCACGACGTGAGGTATTAGTGGACTGTAAAATTCATGGTGTATGATACTGAGAAGTGACAGTTACCCAAATGGTCAATAAATTGCTTTCATCGGGTTTTAAAGGATGCATCCTGTTGCGTGCTAATCGTTAGATCGTTGGAGTTAATAAACATTGAGCCTATAATCGTGTAACTTATTACGTAGACTGTATACCTAACGACACTTTTATGGAACTGGAAGGGTTATTATAGCTTTCACAAACTTACATTATTGAAACAGGATACTCTGTTAAAACTTCTAGTTGGTCTTATTGAATTATTTTAAACGAACGCTGAAAGTAATTTAATATCTTCAAATAGGTCACAAGTTTTCTTCTTAATTCGTTCTATTTCAGGATACACAATAAACTATATATTTCATTTAGAACTACGTAACTACAGTTAGCACATGGAACAAACCATCATGACTCACACTGAAAAATACTTTAAAAATACAATATTAATGGTCAGAGGAGAGAAGGTTTAAAAAACAGACAGTAAATTTATTCGTTACGGAAGCAATATTTGCTGTACGTTGTAAAGAAATGGATTTTTTTTACCTCAGCACCCAGTTTATTAAACTCTTACCACTGCAAAATCAGTAATGGAGTAAGTGTGATTGATTGCATGCAATAAGTTCAAATCAATGCGCGGGTTGTGTGCCGGATATCTTAGACGTTTTCTCAGAGTGCATCAGTACTGAAAGCCGTGTGTCACGACTAGAAATATAATGCAAACACGTATCGATACGAAGTGGTTTTGCACAATACGAATGTAGTCTAAAGTACATTTATATACCAATATTTTGATAAATGTCATGTTTATATTTCCCCATCACAGGTTTTGTAGTGTGTGTCTGCTTATTTGTGCATCTTTAAAAATGAATCGTTTCAGGAATGATACGCTGCAATACAAACTTCTGTACATTACTCATGTTACATTAAATTATGTTGAGAATGACGTAAGTAAGTAACCAATACTGTGTCTGTATTTTGCCACTCTGTGTATAAATCCTAATAATCACAGCCTGCGAACGTCAGCCACATACACGTTCATATCTACTAACTAAATTCATATCTTACGTAGCTTATGAAGACTTACTTTATGTATTTATCGACGCAGTTATTATTTATTTATTTAGTGTTCTGTCTGACGACAGGTCCATATGAACAGGATCCGTCCATCCTTTTCTCGGACTCGGACCTGTTCATATACGTTCTTGGCAGATGATCCAGAAGTGGTTTGCCATTGCCTTCTTCTGT